GATCTAGAATATGCAGATGACATAGTCCTGTTAGGTGAAGACGCTGACAAGATGCAGAGTCTTCTGAACACTTTGAGTGGGAATTTGAGAATGTTTGGGATGCGATTTTCACCACCCAAATGCAAATTTTTGCTCCAGGACTGGTCTTCAGCGGTACCGCGGTTAACAATAGAGAGTGAAGTGGTTGAGTGTGTTGACCACTTCACTTACCTGGGAAGTAGGATCAACCCGGTGGGTTAGTTGCCGATGAGATTTCTGCACGGATACAAAAGGCTCGATTGGCTTTTGCCAATTTGCGCCACCTATGGCGCCGCCGTGATATTCGTTTGTCTATTAAGGGTCGCGTGTACTGCACAGCAGTCCGCTCTGTTCTACTGTATGGCTGTGAAACATGGCCATTGAAAGTGGAAGATACAAAAAGGCTTCAGGTGTTTGACCACCGTTGCCTTCGTAGTATAGGACGTATTCCGTGGTGTCACCATGTGAGTAATGCAGAAGTTAGGTGTAGAGTTTTGGGGAGAAGAGGTAAGTCAGTCGACGAGGTTGTGAACCTTCATCGACTGAGATGGTTGGGACACGTACTACGTATGCCTAGTCACCGATTGCCTCGTCACACAATGTTGGCTGAGGTGGGTTCAGGCTGGAAAAAGGCCCGAGGTGGCCAGACTAAAACATGGCACCAATGTATGAAGTCTCTGACTGTTGGTTTAAGCCATGTAGGACGATGCAGACTAGGTGGTTGGGGTCCACGGGACAAGAGGAACCAGTGGTTGGAGACCCTAGGTGATATGGCTCAGAACCGAAGTCAGTGGCGCAGATGTATACACACATTATCCTCATCTTAACAACGCTATACCGAATCTCACTATTTTGTCACTCCTCTTTCCTTTCTTCTCGTACTTTATATTTCTTTTGACTGCATTCACTTATCTTCATCCTTCACCTCACTACCTTTTTACTTGATGTGCTGATATGAGGTGTGGCAACTCGGACCGTTACGCAGTAATGCCTGGTCCTATGTTGATAATGATGATGATGATGATGTAAATAAAGTGGATGCACAGCATCAGTAAAATTACTGTAGCTGCCTGCTACAATTCGAACGTCTGTCAATTGGGTCAGAGGCACAGAACTTACTCTACTGACAGCTATCGAAGCCCTACACAATATAACATAGTCCTTTTTTAGCAGACCAGGAAAGATCATTGGGGGACAATAGAGAATAACAGATAAAATGTAGAAACTATAAGTAGAGGGAGAGTTTCAGTTCCTTTATATTTACGTCAAACGAAAGATTTTCGTGGAAGTCAACACATCTCATCAATCCTCTTAGCTTGCTATTCGAAGGGTTTATAGCCTAGCAGAATTTATGGCACTACTAAGGTTCATAAACCAGATTATCCCATTAGACCCATGGTTGACGTCAGAAATACCCCAACATACGAACTAGCAAAGTACTTAGCTTCGATACTATGCCCTATTAGGAACCGTTCAAATTCCATACTAGAAAACTCTTACGAGTTAAAGCCTAGGCTTAATGACCTACACATAGAAGTGGATGAAAAAATGGTTAGCTTCGATGCAACTAGTCTGTATACTGAAATACCAATCATTATGGCACTGGAGGCAGCCAGAAGTCAACTAAATATTGACTCAGACTTACAGGACTAAGATATCGGTTGATGAGATCATATTAAGCATACGGTTATGCCTGACCCCCACAGTCTTCAAGTTTTAGGGGAAAATATACAGACAAACAAGAGGAGTAGCAATGGGATCACCAATATCCCCAATCGTAGGGGATATATTTACGAATAGTTGGGAAAACATGACTTTCCAAATGTTTAGTCCTACACCAAAAATATGGTGGCGAAATGTGGATGATACATTTACTGCGTTGAAATATGAACATATCGACAATTTCCTCATGCATATAAACTCAGTAGTAAACCCAATCCAATTCACTTACGAGGTAGAAATGAACAAGGAGAATTACCTATGTTGGATTGCAGAATAAAACGAACAGACAGTGGCTAGGATACTACTGTCTACAGAAAACCAGCACACTCCAACAGGTATCTAGACTTCGAATCATCCCGTCCAATGTCAGTTAAGGCAGGATTAATCAAATGTCTAAGTGACAGAGCTAGAAACTGACTAGTCAGAGCAAGAACCTAAACAAGAATTGAAACAAGTAAAAGAAGCGCTAATAGTTAATAATTATCCTCCGCTGTTTATTAAGAAATTCTTACAGACGCACAAAAAACGAAAAATAACGGTCACACGAGTGCGACTAATAACGACAACACGAGTAAAATGAGTTCACAGCCTCCACTGTGTTACCCTATAAGGAGGTACCTCAGAAACTTCATGTAGAATCATCAACAGAGATGGAATTAGGGTGACATTTAAGCCTACAAACTCACTCAGAGATAAACTTTGTCGGCTTAAAGATCCGATAGAACCAATTAAGCAAAATAATGTAATCTATCAAATACCATGTAATGACTGTGAGGTCAAGTATATAGGTCAAACTAGTCAGTCGAGGTCAGTTAGAATAGCCGAACATAGGAATTGAGCTAAATATAGAATAACAGACCTAAATAAGGTCAATAATCTTGAAAGAAAACTCGGCTATGGCTATGCATGCATTAACACACAATCACACAATAGGGTGGGAAAAAGCCAGTCTAATATAATTGGGTGGAGAGAGATTGATTACTGAATCTTTGTTCATCGAATCAACACTCAAAACATGTAATAAAAATGACGCAACGCCCATACCAGAGATATGGAAAATTTTGCTATCAAAAACAACTCATATAAGGAGACATAACTATAAAAATCAAATGTCGAAAAGTAGTGTGATTACATTGATATGATTATGAGCAATAATTTATGCTCGAAACGTCAAGTAAATAATACTAGATCACAGTGTGTTATAAATCAAATAAACAGATCAAATATGGGATTAAAAATCCTACTACAGTGCTCAAGTTTTACACCTACATTAAGGATCCATGACCTATTATTGTTCATCGTCTATAGTCTAGCTAACCACCAACTAAAAGTAGCTAAGTATGTGATCAAAGTACTACAGAACTGTCACAGATGGCAAAAAAGATTGTCCTACATCCATCAGTAGATTTGTGACCTTCAGTCTTACTTTTGACTACTCAATTTTAAGTTAGACATTTATTCATATTATTTTCAATTTCAGCTGTTGTACACAAAGTTTTATTTGATCAAATGATACAGAATACGGTAGGAAATATGATCAATTTGTTAGTCTTTTTTGACCATAGCACTCAAATTAGGCTATAGGAACAGTCTTAACTGAGTGAAAGTGGTCAGATAGTAGTATCGTTATTGAGTGCATATATCACTCAACTAAGTTACTCTGCCCTACAATTGACCAGAATTCTTTACATGAATAATTCCACGTTCGACGGTAGTTTTACTGTTAACTTCACTGGAGTAAGGTAAGATATTTCTCATCAGTAATACCAGCTTTCCATTTTCAAAAGGCGTAAAGTAATGAGAATTTATCGAACCTACAAATCTTGTCGAAGTTGGGATGGTTGTAACCCTAAAGGACGGAGAACAGTGTCTTGACTGACTAATGATAAAGGTGTTCGACGATGGGGACTTTCAGTTCTTACTTTTATCACTTAATTTATTAGCTGAGAGTCAGCTGAAAACTGCACTAGATTTTAAGAAAGCAGAAAACTTCACACGAAGATTGATGTGGCCAATTCGACTGTATTTCGATGGGCCATGGGTTCGAACCCCGATTTGCCTACCGGGGCGCCTGCAGCTCAGTATCATCAGTAGCCAACAATAAGATGTGGTTTGTTATCCAACGCATTAACCTACACGTGGCTGCTGAGTTGTTGCGGTTCTGCTATCCATAAAGACTTTCTACCTAACTGGAGGTCTGTAACTGCAAAACTGAAGAAAATATGACTTAAAAAGGGTTATTGCCATATCGATCGGTAACTCATTTGTTACTAAATTTTGAGTCCCAAATAATACACAACACTATTTTTGGTCCTGTCAACTAAAGTCTTTCAAGTGCTTCAATTAAGGCTGTTTGGAAAATAAATCACTCTAATGAAGGTAGTCATCAATGCAATCCAAAGACAGTTATTTTTTCCTCACTTCACTTTCGTTCCTACCTGTCATTAGGTGTACATGAAATGAATCTCATTGAGTAAATTAACCCAGATGACAACTTTTAAACCCACTCGTTCTATCCGGGTTTATTTGGTTAGTTTTTCTGGTGTTTTACAGTAGACTGAATCGTACCTTTGTTTTGCAGATATTGCTTAACTGAGGTTCGCTATTCCCGAGCTGGACGTTGAAAGCTCAATTTCCAATCACTGACCTAACTGATACAAGACTCCAAATCATCCACCTCTGAAGTATCCTACTGCATTAAATAACCATTTGCACTTTATTTGATAGAAGAAGCGTTCTAAACAAGAAGAAATGTGAGTTTTGACCAGGGCTTTATCCGTAGCTATCTGTTTTCCTGTCACAACTGGGAGGATTATAAACGGCTGTTACTTATTTCAATGTACTTTTGTGAGTCCTGTCAGTTGAAAGTTGGACGACCTTCTGCATAGACTCAAAAGCCTAACTTCTGCTTCCAAAAGTGAAAGTGAACCAGAATCGACATGGGACTAGCACTACTCATTAGTCTCCATATTCATCACACAGAGGTAGAACGCAGCAAGAATTATGGTAGAGGCAAAAGGAAGATAATCAAGCTTCAAAACCATAAGACGAAAAACAGGGGCCAGGAAGATGTGAAGCCTAATTGGAACACACGTACGTGCAGATATGTGTAAAATCTCTTCAAAAGTAGTAATATTAGTTTTAAGCCATTCAATCATTGCATATAAGAATGAAAATATAGGCTAGCAGAAAAATGCACACGTATACGTGTAAACTGAGCCAGTAGCATGAAGTGCACAGCTGAGATTGTTTAAACTCACCCCAAGGACTTTTTGAGAATACTTTTGCCATAACCTCCAGGAGGTAAAGGTATATCTGAAGCTATGAGCCCCATCTGAGATTGTGGCAATTTCGGGAGCGGAATTTCACTAGCCTTCACTCTTTCAGCTAACTTAACTTGTTCTACAAGCGTACTGTGAAATGTTACCAAAAGAACTAACCATAGTATAACATCATTTCGTGACGTCTTTTATCATAGTCTTGACGAGCAGCCTGGAGTCGGTTGGCGTATTCAGCATCTTCTTTCCTCTGAAGATTTAAGAACGCAGTTAATTCCACTCACGTATAGCACAACGAGACGATCGAACGTTTCCAAGAGTTTCCGACGTTTTTCCTGTAGAACCCTTTCATTTAGCTGCGCCTGAACGCTGGGATCATATTCTAGAAGAACCGATGAGTGAACATGAGGCAAGTAACCTTGCTTGTCATAAAGAGTCGTTTCTTCTAACAATTGTAAAGGGTCTTTAGATTTTAATACCGCATGTCGCACAGCCATGCGCTGCTTTTTGTTTTTCTTCAACTCTCTTTTTCTTGCTTCTTTTCTTGCCTGGTCTGTCGGATTCATAAACTTCCCACTCTTAGTAGTATTTACTGAACGACGGCCCATTTTGCAGATTTTTTACCAAGCCCGCCAAAAGAATGGAATGACCTACAAACTAAAAATCTCCGTCGACTCGGGGTGGTTTTAATTGCTTCGAGCTTCAAACTTCACGTTGAAGAAATAGTTATAGTTGCTTGGGTACTACGTCTGGCGTGATCGAATATATTCTTTGCCTTGAATGGTCACATCATTTTTCTTAATTCTGAGAAAACAAGAAAGAACAGTGGTTAACAATGATTCATCAAACAGTTCTCTGCTAGTAGCTCTGCTATTCAAGGTTGGGAAGATGATAAGGGCTTCTTTAATGTAACTTGCATGTTCCATATGACTCCAAGTGTGCGTTCAACCCCCGTTGGGAAGCACTAGGACACGGATCTATAACAGTTTAAGTAACAGAAATCCACAGCTGACATACCCCATCTCTAAACAAGTTAGCACGGTTCTTCGTAGGCGCTGCCTCATATTTAACCCTCACTTGAAGACCTCTTAGATGGGATTCCTGAGTGACCCTTAAGTGCAGTCTTTCCGGATGAAGAGGACTATGGGTGATCCGACAAAATGTGATCAATTCCACTCTAATCATCCTGAAGATTATCGGTTGCAGCTTAAGAGCAACTAGCGATCTAGTGCTGTGCAGTTCAATGTGTTCACTTTACTCGTCCATTCTGTGGACCATTTTGCAGAGTCAGGACTAGAAACACTTGTATTTGTCTACTATTATCCTTTCGAACGTTTCCCAAGTTGTGCAGCCCAATTTCACGTTGGCAGTTAGCGAAGATTGTATTGCTGAGTCTACAACTATGAGTTACTGAATACTTCCTCGATAACTTCTGGGACCGAAAACGTTGGCAAGGCTGATTTACCGTTAGAGGCGGTTGGCTCACTTCTGACCTCAATGCTCAGTGAGGAACAACATGACTGCTGAAATTTTTGCTTGTTGTGCATACAGTGTGTTTGCATACAGTCTCAAATATTTGTTTCTCGTCTTCCCAGAGGAAAGACATCGAGCGAGGTGAAGAGGTAGAGGATGACCGTTATCAGACAAAACATTTTTACCTGACAGTCTACTAGAGTTCGTTTGCAAAACATATCCAAAATCGCGTTTATCAGCAAGGCTAATGGCGTACTCCTTGCTCCACTAACGGTCTTCTAAATCCTACGCAAGACGAGGTGGTCTTCTGCAAGACTCAAGGAAAGAAAAGGGAAAAACAAAAAGTGAGTACGCGTAAAGCACGGGAGCTATGGAAAGTAATAGTAGGGGCTGAGTTATTCCAGACAGCCTGAACCTCTTTATATCGAGGTCAGGACAAGGATCTTCCTGGACATCGTTAAGACATGGAGAGACCAGGAAAAACCAGAAGGAAAACATCAGCCAAGACTGATCACTCTAGTTACACTCCACAACAGAGCTAGACCAGAATCATGGAGGTGAGGTAATTTACAAACGTCCCCCTCATGTTTGGGCTAAAACTTCATCTGACAACTTCAGGGACTAAGTGTGAGGCCGTTTGAAGGGGATCGGAGACCAGTCACGCTAAAAAAGGTTATTAAACTTAGAATATTACGAAAAGACGGTCGGCATGGATACTGCTAGTTCATTTGCTTAACCCCAGCAGTGACTAGTTGATATAACCATTGTTGTATGTAGGTGGAGACTCGCACAACAACTTTCGGATTCCACCCCCTAATGGTCACTCGTTCTCTGTGTAAATGGGAAAGGTGATGAGATGACAAAAGCTGTATTGTAACGTCAACCGAGTTGTACAAAGCGCGATAGGTTCTATGCACATTTACACTGGCTTTGACGATTTTCAGGCCTTTCTGGATCTAAATATCGTATTGATTCTCATCATTTTGACTGGCTTGATATTTACACTTTGGTCCTCGTTCTTTCATTCGGAACTTCGACGCAAGACAGTTGATCGTAAAAGTCTTCAGAAACATACGTTTTTTTCATGAAGGACATGTTGATCTTTCTGCACAATATAACAAAACTTTAGCTTTAGCTGAGGCTGGTAAGTCGTTTCAAGTGAAGAGAACGGCTCTTTGTGGTACACCGACTTAATTAGGTAGTAAATTAGATCGCTTCCCTTCGTGCAGTGTGAGTTTTCTTTTAATATGATTAGAATTAAACCACTTTGCCGTCCAAGGCTCATTTGGCGCTCTGACTGGGTTCTTCAGCAAAAGGTATCTAGAACCAGGGTCCAAAGGGGAAGTATGATCTAAGAAGGCAGGTCCAACATACTCCGAAACATACGTTCGTTCTGGCGATGATATTATGATGAAAACAAACTGTCGCATCAAAAGTATTCCTTCTGGGTTTGTCAGTGAACTGATTTGATCTCTGAAAGCTTGCATAGGAGATTCGGGAACATGAAGCAGCAGTTTTTCCATTGCTTTAAGGAATGGTGAGGCTAATTCCATCGGTTGGGATTTCACTTTTTCTCCAGAAGATACGGGTTAAAATACCAAAACTATTTTCGTTTCCCTTAACGCATCGCTTCTGACGGAGGAATCATTAAAATTTTTTGGTGGATGGCACAGCATGTCAGCACTTTTCGTAAAATGAATACCCGACATGTCGTCTAGGAACAAACATCTTAAGTGTTTTGACAGCTGGATGATTGCAGCGTTGGGAAACTTTCCGAGTACTCCGGGATGAGCGTCGTGAATTTCTTAAGACCCATTAGGATTAATGCTCCTGTATATTTTAAAGACTTCCAAGGTTTACTTTTTATGAACCTTAACTCCTGCGCAGATCGAGTGTTTGATTGATGTATGCGGTCATTCCTCCCAATTGATAGGTGTCTGGAACTGCTGACCCGATAAGAATGCCAAACTAAATTTAGTATAGGGAACCTCTAAGTTATTCAGTATACTGAGTGAAAGACTGCTTCTCTCTTCCACAAATGAGTACAATGGCCCACGAGCTCCCCTTTGATATTTTGCTCAGACTGCTTGGCCGTCTTGATATTTATTGTGCATATTTAGGGATTTCCCTGTTATTTCTCAACGTGTTCACTGACCTCGGGTTAACCTTATGCAACACGCAAGATTCCAATGGCTTGACAAAGCCAGAAAGGTAAGTCCCCTTATTTCTACTTGGGAGGATCAGAAATTCTATGATTGATCATCTGACGGGTTACTGTTAAGGAAGCAGAACGAAGGGCTTTTGTGTCCATAGCACCGCTAGTTTAAGAGCTAGTGCCTGGACGTGGTGGAAAGAAATTCTTGTTCATATCCTTACTGCTCATTCTTCAGACGAGGCTCGCTTGGTGGCAGGTACATGACTCCTCTCCTGGTCCTCCTCTACCCTTCAATTTACGATCGCCCACTGAACCTGCAGGAAAGCATCCAGCCTTTCATGCTGTGTTTCTAATATTGTTCTGACCACCTCCGGAGAATCAAAGGTCAGGAGTCTGAATGGTTCAGGGACGAGCCCCAGATGACGGTGGATCTCACCAGCTCTAATAATGACGACCTGTAGTTCACCCGCCCGTTTACACTATTATTAGGTTCCACAGTTTCAGTACTACCAACACGTTTAAGAATCTGATGTTGACCTAAGAGCATATGTCTTCGCGGTGGTACTCCTGGTATGATGGATGGCTTCATCATTGCAAGAAATCTACCGAGTCCGATCCCGACGTATGACATTTTTAACCCCCTTAACCGACGATCTGTCAACAGGTTCCATTAGTATCATCGAGTGGTTTCTATATCAAAGGCCTTAGTGCATGAATAATTCCCATCCAGACTGAAAACAGAAAGTGCGTCAAAAATGCCCATGGCATCAACAGACACGGGATGCTTTCACAGACTTCCCACTGGATTTCTGGATTCCGAATTCTGCGCTGGGCACTGTGATGCCGCCGAAAATGGGTGACGTGAACAAATGAAAGGTAGTGAATCTAGGATTCTGGTTAAGTCTCTTTGACTTGCACTAAAACCATAGAGATTTCGATAGAAGGCTCTACAGAGCATGATGCTGATCAACACTGTTATATTCGGCAAGCATAGATATTAAGTGTATAACACGTCTCCAAGATGTGTAGCCCGGATTCGAGGATGATCGAAAATTGATGCTGACCTTCATTGTTCTAATGGACCTAGCGAGTCCTCTGTCTAGTGAAGCTGAGAAAACTTTCAGAGCGCAAGTCGTAACCCCATATTTAGTCCCCTAGATTACGCTACTTTTGGATACTACTAGCCACAAAGTTTGGGTAAACATCATTTAGCTAAAATGCAGAAGTGAAATGTAATACGAGAACTATCGGTCAGCATTAGCAGCAACCTGGGAGTAGTGGTTGGCCATCGATATTCTTCGGTTAATGAAAGTTGCATAAGCACTTAGAGCACATGGTACATTATATGTTGAGCACACGTGAATCTGAAGAAATGTGAATATTCAATGGACTTCGGCTGCCCAAATGAACTTGAATGCTGTGATAGACGAAAAGAAAAATTTGGGACCGGTATTGTGGTATCACGCAGTGTTGCAGTGGGCTAGGCCTGTATTTTCGGAAAGAGAGATGGGTAAATAAATTCAGCCCCAGATGCAACTCACTCTGGCAACTGTTGTCGTACTACGACCGATGATATGTAAGGCGTTGCCACTGAACTATTCAGCATGACCTCAAGGTTAGGGCTCTGTGTGAGATCAGTTTCTGTCTGCGTCATTATGGGACGGATAGTTGCAGTTGGCTTAGAACATGCTCGTTTCGACACTGGTAAAATTCTTGATGCCAAGATGTCCAGATGAAATTCCGAGAGAAGCCACAACCTTCGGGTGAGCTGCCAAAATATCCACCAAGCATTGCTTACATAGAGAACTTGCCTACGCAGAAGAAAAATGAATGCAGGCACAAGTGGATATGGAATAAGTTGTGGTGTACTTAAGTCACTAGCCAGTGAAGTCTGAATGTGAAAAAATAACCCAAATGCAGATGCCATAGTTGCACGAGGATTGTTCATCTTATCAACAGTAAACCATGATAATACAGCGGCTTCTGACCGCGCAGTCCAAGTTTGAAGAGGTGGGATCTGGTT